TAATATTTACTTTATTTAATTTTATATTATTTGCTAATTTAATATCTATGATACCTTATTCTTTTGCTATATCTGCTCAATTAGTTGCTATAGTTTCATTAAGTTTAAGTTTATGAATAGGTGTTACTTTATTAGGTTTATCTAGACATGGTTTAGTTTTCTTTTCATTATTTGTGCCTAGTGGTACACCTTTAGCTTTAGTACCTGTTTTAGTTTTAATTGAAACATTATCATATAGTTCTAGAGCTATATCTTTAGGTTTACGTTTATCAGCTAATGTTTTATCTGGTCACTTATTAATGTTAATATTAGGTTCATTAATCTTTAATTTAATGTCTACTTCTATTATTGGTTTCGTTAGTGGTTTCATACCTATGTTAGGTGTTGTTGCTATCGTTATCTTAGAATTTGCTATCTCTATGATACAAGCTTATGTATTCTGTATCTTATTCTCAGGTTACATTAAAGATGCTTTAGATTTACATTAATATTTAACATATTAAACACCCTATCCCAGGTTATACCTGGATATTATTTATTCATTATTTCATTTATTTATTTATAAAATAATATATTATTTTAATATTTTCCCCCCCCCTTACTTTTATAATAAGTAAAGAGGAAGAAATATATATAAACATATATTATATATAAACATATATAATATATATTATAAATGAATAAATAAATTATAAATATATAATGCCCAACGCAGTCGCGTTGGGGATCCTCTGGGCTTCGCCCGGGAATTAAGCACCTCATCAGTACATAACGATATAAATAAATAATCAAATAACATCTAAAACATGTAAGTATAAGATAGTAGTTTCAGCACCAACATGAGAAGTATTAGTGAAATCATAATTATAAACTCTAATAGTACATATAGCTAACATTATAACTAACATAACCATATGTATACCATGTAAACCAGTAGTACTAAAGAAAGTAGAACCATAAACACTATCAGTAATAGTAAATGTAGCAAAAGAATATTCTAAAGCTTGACAGAAAACAAATAATAATATTAATAATGTACTATATATGAAACCATATAAAGTATTTTTACGGTCACCATTAATTAAAGCATGATGTCCATAAGTTATAGTAACACCTGATGCTAATAAAATTATAGTATTTAATAAAGGTAATTCAGCAGCTGATATAGCTTCGATACCTGCAGGAGGTCACATCATACCTAATTCAACACTAGGACTTAAAGCAGAGTGTAAATAAGCTCAGAATAAAGAAGCAAATATTAAGATCTCACTTAAAACAAATAATAAGAAACCTTGGTTTAAACCTCTTTTAACAGCTACAGTATGGTCACCTAAATAAGTTGACTCAGCAATTATATCTTTAAATCATAATGTCATACTATATAAAACAGTAATTATTGTTATAATTAAGAAATAATTATTATTCATATATCCATGTGATGATAATGCTATTGTTATCATAGCATTCATAACACTAAATGAAGTAAATATTGGTCAAGGTGAAGGTCCTACTAAATGAAATGGATGTAATTGTATATATCCTCTAATATTATTTGTCATTTTTATTTTTATATTAAATTTTTACTTTTTTATATTTTATATCCTTATATTATCTTTATATTATATTGAGTTAAATTGGAATCGAACCAATATTGATTGCTTAAAAGGCAATAGTCTTAACCTTTAGACGATTAACTCTTTAAATCTAATCACTCTATATATATATATATCCCTATCTATATATTATTCAGATTTAATAGGGAAAAAGAATAAAAATCTTATTAAAAATTGCCTACGTCGAGAATCGAACTCGCATCAATCGCGCTTCAAGCGATTGCTTTAACCAATTAAGCTACAAAGGCATATATATATATTAAATAATATAATATATAAGATATTTTTCTTTTTCCTCCAAACAATAATATAGGAAAATTATATATATATTTAATATACAAGAGTAAGCAGAATCGAACTACTATCACATGTGTTGAAGACACGAGCTTTACCATTAAGCTATACTCTTTAATAGACTATGTAGGAATTGAACCTACGGCCCAGATGTGTAAGATCTATGATTTAACCACTAATCGAATAGTCTATATTATTATATGTTCTGTTGGGATTCGAACCCAAATAATTACTTTAGAAGAGTAATGTTCTACCTTTAAACTACAAAACATATCTTACCTTACCTTATATATAAAATATTATATTAAATATATATATATAATCCTTTTCTATTAGTAAAGAAAAATATAATAATACAAAATAATTTATTATTTTCAATAGAAGATCTTTTGTGCGAATTCGTTAGATATTCTTAATCTCCCTCTTTACATTGTAAAGAGGGAATATTTAATTTTATTAAATATATTATATTAATAATATAATATATAATTCCCGGGCGTAGCCAGGGGATCACCCAGCGCGATTGCGCTGGGGATTTTCATATACCCCTCTTTTATAATATGGCCGGACAAAGTCGGATTATATTCCCTGAACGTAATCCGAGGAATATTATTATTAAGGGGGGTAAAAGTGTATTAATATATATACATAAATATATATATATATAAAGGAATAAATAAATAAAAGTAATAAATCCCGATCAGGTTCCCCTAACCGAACCGTATTTCAACTTACAACAGGTCACTTATAAACGAACCTAAAAATAAACTTTTCAGGAAAGTAAAAATTTCTTGCTGTTGATGAGTGGTTAGTACGAAGTAGTATTAAATTTCACCGTAACTCTCTAGTTTACGATTACTGGCAATTCCTCCTTCATATAGTTGAATTTCAAACTATAATCCATGAAAGATAAAAATCATAATCTTATTGTTTAATAATAATAAATATTTAAATATAAATTTATATAATTGTCAATAACATCGTAACACGTCTATAGCCCATCTCATTAGGGTCATCATGATTAGTCTTCGCCCTTGACTTCCTATTATTTGTAAAAAATACTTTATAATATATAAATATATTATTAAGGATTGTGTTCATTATATAACTTAATATAATACCTCATGGCATGAACTGACGACAACGATGTAACGCCTGTTAATAATTCAAGAGATGGTAAGGTTTTAGGAGGATCATCCAATTAAACAACATGTTCCACTGCTTAAGACTACAACCGTCTAATGTCTTGTATTTCACCCTTGCGAGCGTACTATTCAGGCGGAATACTTTACATTTTAATTATTCTTAACTTATAAATAAGTTATTATAGTATTCATAGTTCACTGCTACGACTAAATGGGTATCGAATCCATGTCGCAAACGTAGCCTTCATCTCACAACGTCAATAAATATTCAGTTATTTCTTTGCTGTTATAATATTTTCATAGTATTTCATCCCTTAAATATTATTTCATATAACCTATTTTATTTATTCTAGTTAAAATATTTTAACCGTACTACTGATTCTTTAAGCCTTTCTGATTAATGCTTGCCCACCATGTCTAACCGCAGCTGCTGGCACACGTTTTGGTCAGGACTCTTTCTTATATATATCATTATTATACATAATTAGAAGTTTATTGTTAACCTTTTATTATTTATTTATATCCGGGCTATGCCCGGTAATAATATTAATATCCTTCTCGTAGATAGCTTGATCAGTCGTTAGACCATTGTCAAATATTCCTCACTGCTGCTCTTAATAAGAGAAAGGGTTATCCCTTTTGTGACCGTTCTGACCTTAATCATCGGCTCCAGTTCTATGGCTAGATTTTAATCTAATACCTACATCTGATTATATATTTATTTTATTTCATATATATTTTCACTCACCTGAACGCTATACTATATTTATATACCTAAATATATATTTATATTATAACTCGCATGTGTTATGCCTCTACATAGCATTTAATCTGAACCAACATCATGTTCTCATATTTTATTTTAATTTTCTCTTTTATTCTTGAATTACTCAGAATTGAACTGAGATACATCCATTATGAGTGGACTGCTCTACCATTGAGCTATAATTCATTATTATCCTAAAGGATTAAGAATAGGAAAATTAATTTTAATTCCCTATTCTTCATATATTTGTAATACTCTATTCCTTTTAATTAAAGAAAATTGAGCAATATATTCATTATATACTCTTTATATATATAATAATATATATATATTACCTTTATAATTAATAAAATCTTTATTTTTAAACTATCTCAGAAAGGGTATATATATATTGCAGTAGATAGATTCGAACTACCAAATCAAAGACATGAGCATTGTATGTTACCTATTACATTATACTGCTTACCTTTTTAAGAGTATATTTTATATAATATAAGTAATATTCCCCGGATGTAATCCTGGGGGATATAGCCGGACTCAGTCCGGCCATATTATAATTAACAAGCTACACTTATAAATAACTAACTCATATGAGTTAGCTATTTAATAAAAATATACATAAAACATATATATATAGAATATATATTAAATATATTTAAATATCCAGCGAAACTGCGCTGGGGAAAATTTTAAGTGTATCTCGGGGATAAATGAATATATATGGTAAATTTATTATAAAATTAAACTGCGTATAATAATAAGAATGATATCATTAAACAGAATAATCCACAAGCTTCTGCTAAAGCGAATCCTAAGATAGCTTGTGGGAATAATGTAGCACGTAATGAAGGGTTACGTGAAGTACCGTTAATTAAAGCTACGAAAACTAAAGCGATTCCTATAGCTGCTCCTCCTAATCCTAATGTAGCTATTGAAGCTCCGATGTATTTTGCTGCTAATGCTAATTGCATATTTATTATATTATATATCTTCTTATATTTATTATATTTATATTTACTTCACCTATATTTATAAAAATAAATATTAAATAATAATCCCCCCCCCCAGCGCAACTGCGCTGGGCATTAATATTTATACCTCTTTTAGACGATATTCAAAATAATTATTTTATTATATTCAATATAGTTGCACAAGAGGTTCTCTGAGCGTAGTTAGAGAATGAATAAATAAAAGTTAGATAATATAATTTTATCTAGGGTGTGTTAAAACTAGTAACTCACTGAAAGTGTGATACTCAGCTGGTCTGCTTAAGAATAATTCTAAATCTGAATCTCTAACAGTTCTTGTTAAGTTAGCTTATAAGAAATCATGTGTAACTTAGATATCAATATCTTCATTTTCATCATTTTCTCATTGTATTAAATCACATTTGAATCCAACTACA